TAGCAACAATTTTGAGTTTGGACCAGGACCGGGCAGTGTTTCGTTCTGTTGTGCACAGGGTCACTGTGGGTCAGTACCGACTTGATAGCACCTAACAACAATGAGTAAAAACCTTTTACGTATTTTTACTATGAAATAAAAGTTATAGTAAATAAAGAGGAGCCACCGTGGTCCACGGTTACGTGCTCTATTGCTAACCTACAGTCAAAGTCTGGACCCACCAGCTGCTCCACAGAAGAAAGAGCTGCTAATCTGTTTCCATAAAGAGTACAACCTTGAAAACCACATGGGCACCTCTGCTCCATTACGTGGGGTCACTGTGAGTCGAAAATCAACCAAACAACACCTATCTACAACAACAATGAGTAGTGTTTGATTATTTTCACCTAGAGGTTACGAATTGGGCTGCGAACCGCAAGGTCAGCAGTTTGAAACTACCAACTGTTCCGCGGGAGAAAAATGAGGTGTTTTCCTCCCGTAAAGATTTACAGCCTCAGAAACCCTGTACAGGGTCGCTATGAGTCGGAACTAACTGCACGGCACACAGCCACCAGTGACTAATATTCAAATAAGAAGCTAACAGATTATTATCATTTATGCTGTAGTTACGGGAGAAAGATGAGGCTTTCTGCTCCTGTAAATTTACAACCTCAGAAATGCTATCTATCCAGAGTCGCTATAAGGTGGAACCAACTCAGCAGCACATGACCACCACTATGCTGAAATTAGAGTCCTGATGTGGTACTGTAGGCTTAGCATTGGACTGCTAGATAGCAAGGTCAGCAGTTCAAATCTACCAGCTGCTTCTTGGAAATTCTATTCAGGGTTGCTATGAGTTTGAACAGACTCAATGACACTTACCAGCAACAACATTCTGAGCTACTAAAATAATGACTACTGCTTCTTGTTGTTGTTAAGTGCCATCGAGTCGATTCTGATTCATAGTGAACCTATGCAGGATTTCTGAGGAGCAGCTGGTGAGCTTGAACTGCCAGCCTTGCAGTTCAAATGGCTTTGCAGTCTGGGACATGACCCCACCACACCAGGACTCCCTGCTTGGTGGTTATATGCCGTGGAGTCAGTTTTGACTCATAGTGGCTCTGCACAGGGTTTCCGAGGCTGTAAATCTTTATGGGAGCAGAAAGCCTCATCTTTCTCCCATGGAACAGCTGGTAGTTTCGAACTGCTG